TTTTTTAATTTATATATAATATATATCATATAATTTATATATAGAGGCATGCCCCAGGCACACTATGAAAGGCATGCTTCAGGCTAAGGCATGCCTTTTAGAGCATGCCCAAAAAATTTTCTGTGCCTCCAACCCTAATTTGAACAGATATTTTATAGTCTGAATAGAAGAGCAAATCTCAACGTTAATATTACAATTATACTTTTTACAAAGGTATAGATTGTGTGGTACAACCCAACGGTTGTCAAGTTGAACACCTTTAACTTCTACAGTGCAACCATCATTACGTCAACTATAAATAGAATACCCATCCTCATTTTCACGGGAAATAGGTTGAAATGGTTTAGGATATCCTTTTGAACATTTTCTGTTTTGCATGCATAGTGCCTTCATATTTGATAAACCACAGAGCCTATGCATTATATATTTAGCCACAGTCGCATATTCATTTGGATAATTATCTGAGTCAGGTATCTCTGCCAATACAATAAGGTTGAAGTCATTTGTGGTATGTGGTTTGTCTTCATCTGCAAGCATTATTAACATGTGTGCATGTAAGAGACTATGCTTTTGTATTTCAATAATGTAAATATGTGCTGTTGCTTTACCAAAGATTCCTTTCTTTAATATATCATTAAGCAAAGCATTCAGCTTCATATTAAAAACATATGCACAAAGGTCAGGACAATCATATGCACTCTGTTCAGATAATAAAGCAGTTTGAATTTCCATCCATTTCAGATTGCATGTCATTGTAATGAACAAATCGGGCTTTCCTGCTTGTCTAACGATAGTTATAGCGTCCTGGTAAAGTTGATGCATATGACGTGGTCCACCAACGAAGCTAGATGGAAGAATAATTCCTTTTTTGATGTGTGAAGAATCTTATGGTGCCTCATCATTAGTTGTAAGTGCATCCTGTAATTCATCATATAATTCTATTCTTATTTTTTTTTGATTAGCCTTTATATAGTTAAGCCGATTTTGTTTAATGCACGCATAACTGTCTACAATAAATTGTTGAAACAGATGACCAGATCTGTGCAGAAAGAATGATTCTAGCAGTACATATCTACGAATTTGCAAATGATATACATAGTACTGCATCATCATCACACATTTTGAACTTTCTTCTTCACCATAGTCTTCAGAATTACTCAAATCTGCAGCATCATTGGTTTGAGGTTTGTCTAATATATTACGCATAGGGATAGCTGGATGCCATCCAGGCTCACCATGTGAAAAAAGTAGCACATAATGCAATGGGAAATAAGACGAATGGATTTGAGAAATTCGTTGCAAACCTCATCCTTGTTTATAAAGAATTATATTGCGGTCTAAAGGTTCAGAATCATCACCGTTACCAACCATGAGCACTGCAACTTCTGAAGAAGTAGGAATGGCATATTGTCATTCATCACGTGCCTTAATTATTTCTATTTTTAGTTCTTGTGCAGAATTTTTACACAACAATTGTGCTGCTTGTCGGAAAATATAAACATATGGATTTACATCATAAAGCATTGATTGAATTTCGGCTAGCACAGAAGAATCCAAATCTGGCATAATACGCTGCCTATGTAGCTGCTGTTCTTCAGTATCATACAAATAAATTTGACAAAACTTTGGCTTAGTGGCATCTTCTGGTAAAAGCGACCCGATTCGGTGATACATCTCTCTGTGAATTCGAAAAGAATATACTCCACTGCTTTTAGTAACTCGATTATTGATCTTTGCGCTCATTAAAGTAAACGCAAGGACTGAATTATACATACAGATTTTTTGCCAAAAATTGTATGCACGCATAGTATTTTCAGTTAACAAAGACTGCAAAATAGAAGGTGTTGGCGCTACTGGTTGCAAATGCACTTTACCCTTTGCACAACATGTACTAAAGACTGGTTTTTTTAATGTTTCAGAAATCTTTTCATCTTTCCAGTGCAAAGCGCCACAGTATATGCACTCAATATTCATATAAACCAAATCATGCACATTAACAATAGTGCTATCATATTGTTCTATACAGGCCATATTGAAAGCAAGGTGGTTTACTTTTAGATGCTTTGCCCTTTGGTTTTCTGCACTTTCTGTAGTTTCAAATGTTAGTCGTTGTGTATAGTTAGCTCGATTTTGTATGCATCGGTGTAAGATTTGCTGTTTGCTAAGAGTTGTTTTACGGCGTGCGTATGCCTCTCTTTCAAGCCAGTTTTTACATTCACATGCATTTTTAGAATTCTCAATTACTGGATAGTTGATTTCATGGGCCATTTTTCTAGCATAACTTTCTCTAGCTAGACAATTACGATGTTCTTTTGCCATTTCAGATGTTTTTAAAGTAGAGTCATTTGGATCAAAGTTCGTTCATTCGACAGACAAATTATTAGCTATGTCTCTTTCTGTTAACTCAAAAGACATATTATCAGTTGTTTCATTTTCGTTTAACTCAAATGACATATTATTAGTAAAGTCGAGTGACATAGTGGTAAAATTTATTTCGTTCAGTTCAAAAGCCATATTTATAAATTAGAAAAGGTTAATGTAGTCAAAAAGAAAGAATATAACGAAAAAGAAAAAAAAGATTGAAAAAAAAATGCAAAATAAAGGTGTGAAAGAGAGTAAGAGAAAGATCACACGTGAGCAAAACAAATTATTTATATATTTAAGAGAAGTGGAGTTTCATATAAATGCATTATTGCACTAATATATTTAAAATTACAACAAAAAGCAATGTTAGGAGCAAAACGCACGTTAAAATATGAAAACACGTGAATAGGAAAACAAATTTTGACGTATAAGGAGAGCAGAGTTTAGTATACATGCAGTCATTACTACAAATTACGATCTTAAATTACAATTTATATTACTTAATACATGTATATTTTAGTATAATAATGTCAATTGAAATTTATAAATTTATTTACTAACCTTCCACTCTTTTTTATTATCTAGCTTGGCTTATTTTAGCACCACACCTTTAATTTTGGTTTAGCAGTTAATTGCTTATTCAAGTAAACCTATTGTCTCAGCCTGAAAGTGAAGTTCAAAATTTGTATATCAAAGGTTTTCATGATTATGAGTAATTATTAATACCGCTATGTATAAAAGTAACACTGATGCACTATGCAAAAAGTAACCTATTTATTCGTCGTAATAAACTTGTTATCGAATATATTTATAAGATTATTTAACGACTATTAATTGCACTTTTTCAATACAAAAAAAAATAATAATAATTAACGGATTTAATATATGTTGTTTAATAGAACACTTTAGAAGATTTATAATGAAAATAATAATTTATTCAATAGCGAACATATTCATATGATAATGAGAGTAATATGGAAGTTCATGAAAGCATAAGAAAAAAATTGTTCTAAAAAAACTATTAAGTAATTTAAGATTCATCGATTTAAGATTCATCGATTACAAATAAAATACTCAATTACAAATAAACTATAAATTACGTATACACAATTTTGATAAAGAATTAATGAATTCGGTTTATTTGCGAATTTAGAAGATAATAGTGATGCAATTTAATAATTTTGCAATCTTTTAATGAATGAGCTTAAAGAAATAAAATTTTAGAAACCTCAGTTTTAATATAAACCTAAATTGTAGTATTAGGGATTTGGTAATCAACTTAGATTATAGTTTGCTACCTCGTCAAACGATGAAAATCAATGAGTGCACGTGTCGATAAAAGCCACAGAGAACGATAACACGATAAGACACATTGTTATGCGCGCAAGTATGTATCTTTGTACCCTTATGTTATGCAAATCCGGGCCTCCGATAAAATACGATATTACAGCCGCCTTTAGATAAAAGAAAAATCCTATATGTAACTTAAATTTTTTACTTATATAGCAGGTCATCATAGTAAAATTTTGTATTAGTTATGGTAGTTTGTTACACGAAAACTTCAATCGTTTGTAATCATGTGAGCGTAAATTTAACGTTGCACAAAAGCAGTAGTTATTAGTGTTGTAAGCCGAATGGTTTTAATCGGCTGGCTAAGCCAGCCGACCAAAATATCGGCTAAGCGGCTGGCTAACGGCTTACCTTACAGAATATTTCGGAACTTTCACAAAGGCTTTAACTTGTTCATCCCATTTTCTATTTTGGATTTATCGGGATTTTGACTACGTGTTCTTCAGCTGCATTAGCCAGCCGACCCTTTTATATCGGCTAGCACAGCTGGCTAAGCCAGCTTAGCCGCGGCTGCCTTAGCCGGCTTACAACACTAGTAGTTATGGTTAGGTTGTTACACGAAAACTTCAATAGTTTGTAAACACGTGAGCGTAATTTAACGTTTCACAAAATCAGTAGTATATAAGCACGTGATGCTAGACAGATTGAACATCAAAAAATTTGTATTATAGATTTTATAAAATTTAATCCAATCATTTATGTGATATTGTATGATTTTCGGTAAAATGGAGTTGATATTGCTTGATCTCCGGTAAAATTGAAGTGTAAGATTGTATTTGATTGGTCAATTGTCCGCTTTGACTATTAATCCGCTTATAAATCGTTTATGAAACCGTTTATGAAACCGCATAATAATTATAAATCATCATGTATTTAATTGGTCAGTTGCTTTTCTTAGTTGTAAATTGCTTATGAAACTGATCATGAAGCCGCATAATATTTATAAATCATTACGTATATCATTACGTATATCATTACGTATATCACTTAATTTTTAATAATCACAACATTCCCATCAAAATTTTCGTCCATGCGCCCTATTAAAATCCTCCTATACTCTTTTATTATAAACACTAACCCTAAATTCTAATCTATCTATTAAAAAAAAAGCTGAACAAAACACCCCAAAAAAATTTAAAATTTTCATAATAAAGTAAGTCAAAATTTCAGCATCATCCCCGACAATTATTAATAATTATTAATCAGTATTGATAAAACATGTAAATATTATTATGTCATTGATAAAATATGCAATTATTATATGACAGGGTGAAACCTGAGTTGCGAAATATCACACAAGGGTGAAATCCGCTTTTATGTAATAAAAAACATAATAAAACGTGTATTTCAACGAATCTGCTGATATGAACTTTTAAAGTACTTTCAACCATGAAATAAATTTACTAATTAGATTAAAAAATACCTTTCAGCCATGGATCTCTATCACTTTCCCGACAAACAAAATCTTTCGTAACTCAGATTTCATCCTGTTCTATTATTATTATCGTTATTAATTAATTACATGATATGTAATTATTATCAGTAGTTTATTGGTCTCATAATCTGCATAACAAATCGGCTTGGGCCTTTTCAAGATCGGTGAAAATCGAGAAATAACATGCCAATTCCGGATCGACCTAAATTCCGTAACGACGCGGAACATATGTTTTGAAAACATTTGCATTTATGGAATAAGGATCCTGTGATTCGTGTACAGGTATAATTTATAGCAGATCTATTATCAAAAAGAATCTTTATATGAACTTTTATGGTAAACTATTTTAATAATATTTGTCACTGATGATCGTGAAATCGGATGATGATAAAATTTGGATCTATTTTATGTACGATTTTTAAAAATTTTTGGGGCCTTTTTTGACGGCTTTTTTTATAGTTAAGTTAGGATTTAGGGTTAGAGTTATTAGTAAAAGAATATAGGTGGATTTTGTTAGGGCTTGTATTTTCAAATCGGGACCCCTAAATTTCACCATCATCCGATTTCACGATCATCCGCGACAATATTTACTATAAATTCACTCATTTATATATTTTACGAACAAACGTAGTTATAATAGAAGCAATAGTGTAAGTATCGAGTTTTAGAAACTTTTGAAAAAAAATATTACATTTAAAAAACACCAATAACTATAGCATTTAATTATTTTTTATATGATGTTACTAATTTCCCCCAAATTTCTATTTGCTGGGACTACTCGCATATTACCTTTTTATAATGAGATATCTTAATCGGAATTAGGGTTAGGATTAATGGGCAGCATTATACCAAAATTTTGTAAGGTTTCTTTTTTGTTAGTACAGTAGTACAAAAGATGTGATTTCTTAGGCGAAATTTTGAGATTAATGAAAAGAACGATTGTTTTTTTAATTTTCACTGATCTTGGCTAGGATCATATGATGTTATTATGGATCGTCGATTTGTCCAATTAAAAATGCCATCTACCGATGACCAATAGAAACTTGGGATGAAATTAGTAAATGCTTTATATTCAGTTGCGCATGATCTCTTATTACAACTTTTTTTACATTTTTTTATGTAATGTTTTTTGTAAGATTATTTTAAAACTTTTAAATGATTTTTTACTTTATTTTTGAGTATCTAGAAATACAGTCAACTTCACCGAAAATCAATTCACCGACACTCAATTCACCGGCACTCAATTCACCGACACTTAATTCACCGGCACTCAATTCGCCGACAATCGATTCACCGATATTAATTAACTGACAATTCACTGACAATAAATTCACTGACACTCAATTCACCAACAAGTTTAATTCACCGAAAAGCTTATAATTACTTTGTCGGTGAATTAAGCTTGTCAGTAAATCAAGCTTGCCGATAAATTAAGTGTTGGTGAAAAGAACATGTCTGTGAATTGATTGTCGTTGAAGTGTTGTGTATACGAAATTAGTGCCGTTGAAATAAGTAGGACAGGTATTTATCAAGCCTTATATCGCTCCGAAAGTTTCATCAGGTTAATGACTCAATATTAGTTAATAGCATATGAAATTATTATATCAGAGACGTCAACTAGACAAAAGCATATTGACATTTATTAGTTTAAAGGAATCTTACAGAAAATTGGATCAAAGCAGAAGCCAAACAAAATCCCGATAAAAGTTAATCTGATATGGGTCAACTTGTCAGGATTTTAACCTTGTCGAGATTTTGTTATGATTTTTACTGACTGCTGTACTAAACAATTATCTTTATCATGTAGGAGGGGTGAGCGCTATTATTTATGGGAAATCAGGTGATAAATGACACTTCCCTTAATATTATAAAAAATTAATAATATATATATTCCCAAAACTTAGTTTTAAATAGCATTGATTAAATAAATATTAATTATTAACTTTTTATTATTTGTTATATTAATATCTAGTGTATCATAGTGTATCGAAATTACCAATAATACTCAGCAAATTACCACACTTTAATCCCAATCTCACAAATATGTTTCCATCCTATCTGCAGAGTGATTTTTAGGAATGGTTGAAGAAAAGACCCAAGTGGTTATAGACTTTGCTGGATTTAAATAGGTTAGGGTGTTATTAGTGATGTTCCATTGTTTTGGTAATTCAGTGAGTGTTTCATTGTTGCTGGATGTACGGAAAGCAGTAAATGAACCATCAACATCAAACATAGAAACGTCAAGACTCCAAACTTCAGATATATTATTCTTATTTGTGCAAACTATAACCAGTGTTTTGCTGCTAGCATGATATGCAGAAAGTGTATC